TTTGAAGAAATTAAATAATGAAAAATCTGCATAAATGTATGTATATTTCTCGTATTGTGATAAAACAATGGTACATAGAACAATCGAATTTTGAATGACGTAATCCTACTACGAATATGGGCATCTGGAATACCAAATTTGAAATTTGGAATTTGTTTTATTATCGATTTCATATTTTGTAAAACTTTAACGAATTTTTGAGTAACAAACTCAACTATTTAAAAGCGAGCAATGGCAACGTTGTGCAGAGAAAAAACATATCTCCAGCGCGTGAGTCTCTGTATCGGAAATTCTAAAGATATGCTCGTTTTAAAAACTATTTTGCGATATTGCTGTTGCACTGGATCTTATGGTTTTAAGTGCGAAGAACATGATATTTAATAAATAAAGGTAACACGTTAACAAAACGTTAAAAAAAAACGCCCCTTTGGACGTAATTTAAAATCTGAAAACATTTCAGATTTTTTTTTTTTTTTTTTTTTTTTATTATTATTATTTTTTTTTTTTAAATTCCAAGATAGCCTAAAATAGGTGAATTATGTAACTCATGTAGAATACTTAAACGTAAGCTAGCTGGGATAACTGCTGTGAATTCGTAATTTTCATTAGTTACTTTAGTGTAGAATAATAATTTATCGATGATCTCGTAGGGCGCTCCTCTGTTTCTAATTGCATTAATGTCCGCATGTTCAAAAGGCTCTGAGTCTTCAAGATAAGTATAAATAGTATTTTTAAACTCGAGATACTGCTTTCAATTCAAAAATAACTGTGTCTCGTTAGCTGTGAATCATTTATTTTCGAGATTAACATAGCACATTTAACCGTGTTCTCCTCCTCATCTAACTTAGTTCTAGATAGGGCAACAGCAACGACCTTCTCTTTTCCTGGCGTATTTAATAATAAGATTATATTTTTGCAGTTTAAGAATCCATCGTATGAGCCTCGGTGATAAATTTCTTTGCCTAAATACATACGTCATACAGTATGGACTGCGTAAACTGTTGCTGGCGCATTTCCAAAATGTAATAGTCGGAATTTTTGAAGTCCATGTAAAACTTCCCCCCCCCCGTTTTTTTTTTTTTTTTTTTTTCAAAACCAGTAAAGGTTCAACAATTTTTGCAACGTCTTTTATAAACGAAAGACAATATATGCTAAATAAATTTAATCAACTTGCAACAGCACAGGATCAAAGTCGTATATTTGGCCCTTAATTAAGTTTTAACTAACAACAGCAACGTGACCGAAGGGTGGAACACGCTCTCCTCTTGAAGTAACTTAGATCTCAGCTTAAATACTAGTTTATATCTTATTTGCATAAAGCGTAATACTGAAAACGCATTCTGGTAAGAAGATGCAGGTGAGAAATTAAGAAGGTAAAAGAAAGGGTTGTTCAAAAATAAAAACAACTTCAGCAAAATAAAATAAAACTCCTACAATGTTATCTGATATATTTGCTTGTTTGAATACATATATTTTGGATTTGAAGGTCCTTCGCACTATAGTCCGCTTCAAACATTTGTCGCCGTTCGACGATTTTCAACAATGTAACATCCCACCGATTTTTCTCCTGGATGGTAAAATTTTGCTAATAGTATCAGTTTACCAAAAAAAAAAAAAAAAAAAAAAAAAGAAAGAAAGAAAGAAAGAAAAAGGAAGGTGGGAAAAATCGTGCTTTTTTTAAGGCGCTAATTACCTTTCAGCATATACCTATGGCATAATTATGAGTATAACTACTTTATTTATCGAAACTGCCGCCTAACTGGGATAACGTTAGTGACTCTGACTGCCATACCAAATGACCTAGGTCCGAATCTCGGAGAAGGCATGGATGTTTGTAAATTTATAGTGTCTGTGCGGCATAGGGTACTCTAATTATGTAGTGAGCCGAAAGTCCTTTCGAAAAGTTGCTGATAAGGGAATAGGGATGAGATAGCTTCGAATCCGTGCTTCCGGGATGCTGTCTTTCAAAAGAGGGTGGTCACCTATAAGGTGCTCAAGATTTTTGCCAACGCTGGCATTAGCAAGAGCCTTGAGCCATTTGATTCATAGCCACGATGAATATCATGAGCTTGTGCTGACCATTGTCAGACAAATGACATTGGTAACAACCCCATTTATCAAATTTAATTTTTCATTTTCTGTACTACTGAAGGTTCTAAAGTTTTTTCCTAACAGTATGCCATCTTTAAATTTAGATTATGTTTAAGCAAAACCTTTTAACCTGCGATTTCTAACATCCTCCTTACTGTATTATATGCGAAAAAAAGAAAACAAAATAGCATAAAAATTTTGAAAAACAGTTATTCTGTACTGAGATACATTATGTTAGAGACATAAATTAGTGTTCACAATGACTCTTGGTAATAGTAATTAATCGCATACATTACAAATCAAGTGTGTTTTAAATAACACTATTTAAAAGATCATTAAAAAATAAAATAAAGATAGAATCTAATAAGAAGTACTTTTATTGCATTTAAATATTAATTATTTAAACCATAAACAGTTATAAGCTGAAATCCATACATTTAAGCCATAAGCAGTTACATTCTAAAAGATAAATTATAGATTTTAAACTACTTCGACTAGCAATACTTTGAAAAATGGCTATTTCTCAGGCTGCATCGAAGATAAAGATTTTATATCTCAAGCATTGACATTCTTGACAGGTTGTACTGTAAAGTACTATTCATTATGTAGGGCGACTTTCATTATGTAAGGTACACCCAGCGCAAAAATAGGGGGGGGGCAGTCTTATATTTCCTGTTTTACTGAGCCGATTAAAGAAATTCAACTTGCGTTTTTCATGTTTCGAAAGTGGGACTTAGGATATATATTAGATTTATACATAGCCATTATTCTAACAGGTATTCTGATACAAAATCGGACTTGATCTGAAATGGCACCGAGTTTTTTCCATATTTCGGCTCTACGACTCAAATAGTGCCTAAATATTAAATTTTGTAAAATTTAATAAGAAACCTGCCGAGACATCTAAAAATTTATCTTGGCGAACTTTCTTCAATTTGCGATAAGAACAATTAATTTGGCGAAATCCTTAATAACCTATTTTTCTTTCCCTTTCATTGTGCACTAGCGGTAAAAAAAAAAGGATGAATCGTTCATTTTTAACAAAACATTTTTAACAAAGTGCAGTCAAAATTTGGCATTATTTTCGGTTATAACAAATATGCCAAAAGGCCCACCAGCGGCCGAGCGGTAAAGTCGCTGAACACTGGTAGTTCGGTCCGAGGTTCGAATCCCGCGAACGGGCTGGCTGCATGGGCGTTTTCGTGGTTTTCCCCATGTGTAACGTGTATACGAGCCAGTTTCCCTTAGAAAGTCATCCACGAAGGCATCCCTCCTCTTAGGCAGATAGCCCTCGAGGCTTTGCCATAATCACACACACACACACACACACACACACAAATATGCCAAATTTCAAAACGGGGCTAATGTAAAAATATGTATATCTTCTGAAATTTTGAATAAAAAACTCTAATTTTCTTCAGGTATGCGTAGAAATGCATCTACTTAAAAGTGATTGTAAAAATGTTATAGGTAATTCAAAAATGTTTTCGGAAAATTATAAAAATTATTTAAAAATAAGTTTTAAAAAAATCAGAAAATATCTGGGAATTTTATTTGGATTGAATCTAAATTTCAAACTGTGAAAGAAGGAATAAAGTAAGTTTAATTTAAAAAAGAGAGCTTTGTAAATATATATCGAATTCAAGTAATACTGAGGAGCTAAAATTTTGCGAACGTTCTAAAATCTCCTCGCGCAACTTTTACGAAACTTGACACTTTGGGCATAATTTCAGTCATAGATCGAAATAAGGAAAAAAATCGGTATGTCATTCCGGAAAAAGTTCGATTTTGTATCAAAATACCTACGTTTGAACAATACCATATGAAAATTTATTATATGTTCTATATCGCACTTTTAAGATATGAAAAACCCAAGTAAATGCAAGTTTGCACAATTACATGCTGAGCACAAAGAGTACATGCTGAGCGCATTTACTGCATGTAGGGGCAGAGAGTTCTTACCAAATATATGAAGAGAACATTTTGTATGTAAATTATTTTTAGGAAATTTTGAATGACCTTACCAGAATGCACGTACGCATGCATGGGATACCTACATCCATGGAGAATTGATTCAGGCAATTACTATACCATGGACCGTTGCGCGATGCAGTTACGATTTCCGATAGTGAAAGCTTCATTCAAAAAGACTCGTTGGATGTCATGGTTGAACAATGAAGATCGTTTGAACTTAGGCAAGGGAGTTGAGGGTAATTTGGCTCCAATAGGGCGATGTAACAACAACCACATGTATGGTTGTTCATTTCAAAGCATCTGGTTTTCCGCTTTGACAATATGGCTTTGACATCGCGCTTCCCAGATTTTAGCTACCACTATGAGAAAATCTTTCCATATAATTTGAAGACGATTGAAGAATTTAAGATTGACATCAGCCGTAAAGTACGTGCTGTGAAGTACGATTATTTTTCTTGAAGGTCATCAAAATATTTTGTGTCAGAAAATTTTGATGCAAAGCGTGAACTGCTAAAGCAAGATCGTTATGTGACTTGCCGTGAGACTGAGGCATCTTTGGGCATTAGTATGACAAGCATCAACGTTTACATGAACGTTTGGCAGTACAAAAAGATTTGTTCGCGTTGGATCCCATATAAAACTCTCAAAGAAGGTTCGTGCCGATCGGTGAAAGGAAATGTTGGAAAAATACGTTCAAGGTGCATCAAAGGCTTTTCATTATTAGGCCAGAAATATAAATAGCAACCCTCGTATGTATACCATGATTTCACGATCAAATAAAATTGCTTTTAAATACTTATCCTTTTTCAGTTATTATTTAAAGTTAGCAAATTCTAAAGCTACATTCCACCCCGTACATACACACTTTTATGCAATAAAGTATAATATTGGTCTGCAAATGCTTAAACATTCTTTCTACAATTTTCTCTTTATAGGGTTCCACCTGCACGAGATTGTGAGAAGGGACGCTAAAGACCATCATTCGTGGAGCTATGAAGGACCTTCTGGTCAGTATTTACTTTTTATTATTTTGCTTACGGTAATATGACGGATATAAACATATAGGTTGCCTATAAATTATAAGAGCTTTCTTTTTTATATGCCAGAGCATATGAGAGCTGTCTGCCTTAGAGAAAGGAGGCTTTCACAGAAAACTGCTAAGAAAATCTACCGTATCAATGATATGCATAGAAGCACCCATGTAACCAGCCTATTTACCAGTATTCGAACCCGAATCAAACTACTAGGTTCAGTGGTCTTATCTATTCGGTCACTTCCGAGTCTGAAAATAGAAATTAAATGCGCACTGTTTTTGATCAGTGCGCATTTAATTTCTATTTTCAGACTGTTTCTGTGATTCCACCACTGTTTTTGATCAGCAGAACAAACATTTACACGTTTGAAAACTACATTTAGAAACTAATTAGAAAAGTGATTATAATATAACTGCACTAGAAAGCTACTCCCGTATGAAATTTTCTCCGTATTGTGCGCCAGCAAAAGAATACCCAAGCTAAATAGACGGACGGTAACACAGCACTGGCGATAAGTATAGAACAAATAACACTAAGAAACTAGAAGGGTGAGAAACAGTCCTGTATAGATTCTGCACATTTGGTTTCCATTGCCCGTACGAAAGTCAGTAAGCTGGATGATTTGCAGCCATTTTTGGCTTTGGCTCCAGCCATTTTTGGCATCCAGCTGCCATATGCAGCCATCGTGTGTCACCACGATGGCTTGCATATGGCAGCTGAATGCAACCAATCAGAATTTACTCATTAGAAATATGTAAATTAGGAACTACTCTGATATGCGCCCTCAAGTCGCAAATTTCTCGCCAAATACGTTTGGCGAGAAACTCCACGCTGCCATATTGCTATCTAAATTTTTTGTCTACATTTCGAACTTTAAGCCTAAAATGTCTCCAAAAACACGGTTTTCGCGAATGCAAAAACCACGTTTTGAACACACAATTTAAGCTAAAAATCCGAAACAAAAACAAAACATTTAGATAGCAAAACCGTAAAGTTTCTAACCAAAATTATGACCAAAATTTGACAAGAGTCCATGTACACAGCGATATGTTTTAACTTAAAAAAACATCTACGAATGACACAATCTAGGCAACGAACGAATCTACGAACTACGCACACCTCGCTTTAATAAATTAACATAACAACAATAAATTTCAAAGAATACCATGTACACAGCATCCTGTTTAAACTTAAAAAAACATCTACGAGTTGCACAAGTTAGGCAACAAACGAATCTACGAATTGCGCACACCTGACTTTAATAAATTAACATAACAATAAATTTTAAAGAATACCATGTACACAGCATCCTGTTTCAACTTAAAAAAACATCTACGAATTGCACAATTTAGACAACAAACGAATTTACGAACTACGTACACCTCACTGTAATAAATTAACACAACAACAATAAATTTCAAAGAATACCATGTATACAGCGTTCTGTTCCAACTTAAAAAAAAATCTATGAATTGCACAATTTAGACGATACGCACTAATCAACAAAATAACTAAAATTTCAAACAATTCAATAAAAGAACAATAACGACAGAAATTCATACTAAAAAAACAATGAACATAACATTCTACAAAATAAGAACAAGAATAAAATAAAATGCAGTTACCAGAAATAAAGGCTTTTTCGAACAGCAGAAATACCAAATTCATACCACCTAACATGCCGCCACGTAATCACCTCCAGAAAATTCATACTATGGTTCACAAATAAAAAAGAATAACAAATAATCACAAATCCCTACTTCTATCATGCACAGCCACTAAAAATAATCTCCCAGACCCTCTTTCCACACCTCCAAAAACCCACTGTCTCTCAACAGTATGGACACGACGATATTTCCTTTTGCCAAACTTCAATTCAACAACTTCCACCATTTTACCTTTCCCCCCTAGCTTCTCATACACAGAGTTGAGTTGAGTTGAGAGCAGAATCTGAACACCCGCGCGCTTACTAAGACTATTCGGGTCTAGTCCAGGTTCTGCAACTATCCCGGGCAACACCTCATTGGGCCTATAAGGGCATACATTGGTCCTGTATACATGCTTACATAGTTCATAACATATGCTTATAGTTACATAGTTCATAATGTATGCTTACATAGTTACATAGTACATGCTTATATACAAGTAGTTCATAATACATAGATCTTTCATAATACTTGTTTACATAGTTCATACATATACATGCTTACATAGTTCATACATATACATGCTTACGTAGTTCATACATATACATGCTTACATAGTTCATAGTTGCTTACATAGTTCATTCTTGCTTACATTGTTCATAATATATTGAGCCTGTTACATAATACATACATAGTGGCCGTAATACATACATGTTACATAATATATACAATAATAAAAAAAATTTTAAAAAAAGATAAAAACTAAAATTAAAAAAATTAAAAAAAAATTTTAAAAAAAGATAGAAAGAGAGAGAGGAGAGATTGACAGGGAACTATTCCACACTGCACAAATCTGTTCCCAATTCCTCCAGTTTCTGCATTATCTTGCATATTTTGATGCGAAATGCTGGCTGTTTGATCAGATAACGCTTATGAGAAATTGCCTGTTCTGGAAGCTGCACATACCACTGTGCGGTTAGAGGGCATTGAGTCAAGTAATGGTCTGATTTACTAATGCCTCCACAGACACAACTTTCGGTATTTGCAATTCCTCTCTCATAGTAATAGGAGGGAAAAGGCCCGTGCCCCGTCACAAATCTCGTTATTTGTGTGGATGACTCGAGACGATCGAGCGAAACTTTATGGTAATATTCATAGGTCTTCCTGCTTTGTTCGGTAGAGTCCCATTCCCATTGCCACTGGTGCTGAGCTGCTGTCCTTGTCACTTTTTTAAGGTGAGACCACGGGAGTTTGGTAATTACGCATTGTGCATCAATATTGTGAGCTGCTTCTTTTGCTAGCCTGTCGGCTTCCTCATTACCTTGAATGCCGCCATGCGCCTTTATCCAAGATACGAGGATATTCACTGTCGACGAACGCTCCTTCAGCGTGTCCTGAATCTCCGCTATGATAGGAGAAGGATGTCTGGGATTTCGTAAGGCATATATGACCGAGAGGCTGTCTGTAAGAATATTAATAGTGGATCCTACTGGGGGCTTGTTAACTCGATAGCTTTGCGAATCGCAATTGCTTCAGCCTGGAAAACTGAATTATTCTGTCCAATATGACCTTTCCATGTTATCAGCGTTTCCTTGTTCTTAGTTACTATAAGGCCACAACCTACTTGTCTGTCAACTTTTGAACCATCCGTATAAACATACGAATTTCAACGTCAACAGGGTTGCCATACAACACGCAATCGCGCCAAACACCAGCGCAGAACACATATCGCCACATTTGGTGAAATTAGGGCGTATATCAGAGTTGTACCTTAAAGTAAAGACTGGCTGAACGCTCAGCCTTTCTGAAGTCTTTAGGCAGATGAGTTCAGTTGTTCATAGAAAACTTTTCAGAGATTACTCGGGTTTTTGTAGCGGTCAACGGATTACATTTCGAAAAGGCCCGCCTCACATGAAGACAGAGGAGAAGAGGTGAAGCCAGCTCAAGCGTTGGAGTTCATGGCACTTTTTGACTTGATGTGTGAGGTATGCCGCTCAGAGCTCTTGTTATTTCGTTTTTGAAAATGGTGTAGTAGTATTTTTCAGCGTGCATAAGTAACTTGTGAAAATAAATCCTGATATTAATATGAATAATGCTGTATCCATCATTATGAAATTTTACCAGTCTTTCTAACATGGACAAGGCATATGTTGCAACTTTTCATCGTAAGATGACGCTATTGCGCTGAAAGAGAATATTCAATGTGTTTATGTTATGCGACAGTTGTAGCGCCGTTGCTGTATTAATGTGTTGTATCTTGTTGATGTTTTTCATTAAAATATAAAAGAGCAATGTAGTCGCTAAAATTTTCAGGCCAAAATAAGATCAAATTGTTAATAACCAACGATGTCAAGTCGCCTTTCGTATCCGAAACAGTATAAAATCTTAAATTGTTTTTTGTTCTGTTAAGATCAAATATGACTCAAAAAAACATGATTGATTCAATCACAATACTTTTGCACTATCGGTTGCTTTTAAATTTCTAACTGAAAGGCAAATGACTATGTACTAGTTTAAATCAACTAAGGCGTCGCAAGAACAGGCATATCACTAATGCAGTTCGAATTAATATAAATACGGCAGGGTTCCACAAACTCCAGTGAAAAACTGCTATCTATGTTACGGAATTTTTTATCGACAGTGGAGAATATATATGGAGATCTGCTTCCATCTTTAGCCACATTCCCAGGAGAGCTGCCATTTTGGGTAAAAAGATTATTAAATTATTTTTTTGAGAAATGATGAGTTAAGAAAGTAGGGATTTCTAGTATAGTCTACATCTAGCAATATAGATTTTCCCAATAGTTACAGGGCACATTTGACATAATTAGGCTGATTAAATTGTTTTAAAAATGAAACACGTATTTTAAATTCAGAAACAACTCATATAAAATGTGCTGAAAAGGTAGGTATACAGAGTGCGTCATAAATTCGTGCAAACCTCAAAAATTCATAGTAAAAGAAGTATTACTTAGAAAAAATTTCAATTTGAGCGAATGTGATCACAAGGACATTGGAATTTTTTTCATGTATAAACAAATGGTTCCAAAAGTAACCGAAAGAGGGCGTTCAAACGTCATGCTGAGATGTTTTCCAAATCAGGCAAACACAAACAGAAAAATGAAAGAGATCATAATAGCATGTCACTATGCATTTATTTTAAAGTAAAAGATGTTCGCCATGACCACCAGCATAAGGTATTAGGCAAGTGAGGCGTGTCACTATGCCTATTACAGCTGTTGGCGTCGATGTCACCGACGGTCCGTCGAATGGCACCTTGCAGTTCCACCAAAGTAGCTGGGGAGCCCCAGTACACACAACACTCGTCAGCGTCAAGTATGGTGACCCTGATGGCCTCTTAAACTTACAACCTCGACTTATGACTCGGTCTTCAGTGAAAGTTTTCAACAGGAAATTCTTGACTTCACGTGCAACGTGCGGCGGGGCACCACCCCGCATGGAGGTGAAGACAGATAACGAATGTCTTTCTGCAATACATGCGCCAAACTAAAGCATAATATACCGTTCGGCAGTGACTGTGCATGTGTTCCAGTTAGATACAGGAAAAAGCTGTTCGATAAAAGAACCCAGAATGAAAGACACAGTGAAACCACACCTAACAATCACTTGAGGAGAATGCAGAGGTTTGATCAGTCTCTAGGGTTTCACGTCGGCCTGGTGCGATTGTTTTGCGTATTGACGTCACCGTGCAGTAAAAAGTGGACTTTATCCGTTCGCATGACAATCAGAAATCATTTGGTTTAAGTTCCATTTGTGCCAGGCTCATGTAGCAATGTTTTATCTTTCATCTGTATCTCCCGGTAATAACTGGTGAAGTGCCTATAATCTGTATGGTTACAGATTCTCAAGATTCGTGCAGAATACCTTGAATTGACGATTTTGGAATCCGTGTTATTCTCTCAGCTTCACAAGCACTGCTACTCCCGTTGATGTCTCGGCGGCCAATTCTTCTATGATACTTTGTACAACATAGTCGCGGTTCGCGCTCAAGGATGGTCTTCCACTTTGTGGACAATCCCCCAAACTCCCTGTTTCTCAAAATATCATATTAAATTCAGTATCGCATTCGATTATGGCTTTTATGTCATTTTTGCACCTGCAGTCCTTTTCTGTGCGCAACTTTCGCAGTGCTATACTTGTGGAGTCATCATTCTAGTAAAACCACCAACGCTCCACCAACGTTCGATCTGTTAATGACAGCTTGCTGTCGGCATTGAATTTGGAATCCATTTTCAGTTTAATTTCTCGCCTGACTTACATTAAACATCTCAGTACGACGTATGAGCATCTTATTGCGGTTATTTTGGAATCTTTTTTTTATATATGGAAAAATAATCCAGTGTCTCTCTGACCATATTCACACAAACAGACAATTTTTCCTGAACATTACTTCATTTATTATTCATTTTTGAAGTTTTCCGGAATTTATGACGCATCCTATATTCTGGGTACTCATTTCACTGAGTAAATTAAACGAAACTGAAAGGAAAAGGTTCCTTTGTCGATTGCACATTGCCGTAGATTGTTAATAATTGTTCCTTTTTCATCTCAGTGACTATTAAAAATCCAATTTAGTAAAACAGTGACGTCCCATTTAGAATATTCATCGTTTAATGATATCCAAAAGTCAGCTCTGCGCTATCAAATTTGCCCACCAGCTGCCGAGCGGTAAAGTCGCTGAACACTGGTAGTTCGGTCTGAGGTTCGAGTCCCGCAAACGGGCTGGCTGCATGGGTGTTTTCGTGGTTTTCCATATGTGTAACGTGTATACGAGCCAGTTTCCCTTAGAAAGTCATCCACAAAGGCATACCTCCCCTTAGGCAGATAGCCCTAGTGTGCTTTGCCATAATTAAATACACCACACCCCACCGCTATCAAATTTTGTCTTCTGCAAGACTGTGTGATAAGCTTTCCTTCTACAGAAGTAAATTTAAATGCTTGGAAGGGTCTTGAATCCACGTGAATTTTTCGACATTATTCCCTCGAAAATATTTTTCAAACCAATTGATAAGCTGATAGTGTTTTTCAAAAACGGTGGTTTGTGCAGTATCTAGAAGGTTTTTGCTCGTATAATTCATTCACGCGACACAAAGTTTGGAAATTTTTGGGTCTTACAGCATTAAATGAATAATACTGTTGTAAATTTTTGTGACTATTTCTGTTTATTTGTTTGTAATTTAGCTTCTATATATTTTTCTTTATTCAACTCAATTTACATAATAATTCGTTTGTACATTTTAATTTCGTTGAATTTGGGCTCATTTATTGTATTTGTAAACGTTTCGTGCATTATGTTACAGATCTTTGAATTCTGATTCGATCTATGTTTGAATATGAGAGAAGATAAAGCAAAAACCTTCGTATTGGTCTTCAGAGACCAATTTGGTCACCGAGTGTGAAACATTTGCGATTTCTCGCCAACTTAGAAACATTCTGAAGGCTTTTAGAAAAGCGTTCTTGAAGCTCTAAAAGCAATTCTTCTCGAAGTTTCCAGATGTGCTAATAACCTTTCCTGTGCAACCTTAAAAATATCGACTGCGCGAAGACTTGAGCCTGAAGTTAAATTGTTTAGCGTAGTACCACTGTGCGCAGCTTCTGTATGGTGAGAGATTTTGATGAACTACTCTGTTCCTTAACAGTTGAGGAGAATTTGCCTTGTCCATGTCTTTTCTCCTTCCGTTGGTTATATTTCATTACCTTGCTATTCTTTGGATTGTTGTTCATTTCATAAAAATTCCAATTTCTTCCGTAGCAACACAAGATTCCAATACATTTCCTTCAAGACACTTGTATGCCCATGTAACTCAACAACAAATGTTTAAATAATGTCGCTTGTCCTCCCGGACCTTTGTCGGGGTGCACAGATAGTAGATTCTTCTCCTCCAGAAGAGACATAATAATAGCCTAAGCATAGTAGCAGGCCTGTTGTCTTCATTGGGTGCAGAGTGCTGAGAGACAGTCCATCTGGTATAGTTATTATGGAGAACTCTACGAACTTATAGCACGTAACAACGCACTTAAAAAAAAAAAAAAAAAAAAAAAAAAAAAAAAAAAAAAAAGACTAGTCTCGTCTGCTTAAAAGAGTATGTGCAGAATAAATCTGAGAATTTGGAATGCTTAAAATTACAGATACAGCCAGCATGCTGATTAAAGAATGTTTACCAGTATTTCAGCTTTGGTGTTAGAAAACAACAACAAAAATTACATGGCAAAGAATTTAATTAACATTTTTAAGTATCATAAAATTAACATTCGCATGATCATGAAGGAATTCTACATTATTAATTTTTTAAGGAAAGTAACAAGTAATTTGTCGCCGCAATATAATCGTTGAAAAACATTAACTGATAATTAACCAGAGAGAAGGACATCCGTGACACAGACCATCGAGTAGCCTATACATGCTGATTAGTCCAACTCCCCAGATTTTATCTAAAACGAAAAATCTAGCTATCACACACCCCGAGACAGACTTCACAGTATTTCTACAATCCCTGCCAAGCCTGCATGGACCACCGTAGAAATGCTGGTTCTAGTCCTGCGAAAGCAGTTAATCCTTCTCATACTGTCCACTTTCACCAAATGGACAACGCGAGTGACCAGCTCAGGAGAATAGGGCTCGATCAGCCACATAAGCAGGACAGTCAATTCACGCGTTGCCGCCCATGCCCAGGGTCCATAGAGGACCCACGGAGGAGAATATTAGCGAACAATCAATTGATTGTGATCCGTTTGTTGGTATGCTTGCAACAAACTCCATCAATGGCCAGGTGATTAAGACCGCTAAGTACTGGCAGTTCAACCTGGACTTGGTTTTCTCTACGTGTAACGTGAATACGCGCCAGTTTCTCTTACAATGTTTTCCACAAAGTTCTGCCCCGTCACAGATAGCGCTCGCGTGTTTTTCCGTATTCAAATAAATTAACCTAATTGAAACCTGCTACGTATCATAGCTTTTTTCATGCAATGTGTTGTTAACATCCTGTTTACGCAGCATTTCTACTAATGGCGCCTGTGGAATAAAATTTTGTGTTTCAGGTCCGGAGCATTGGCCTGTCATATTCAAGAAGTGCGGAGGGTCGAGACAATCTCCCATCAATATAGTCACAAGCGAAGCCCTTTATAACGAGAATTTAGACGAATTTGAATTTGACAACTATGAAGCTTCGCTTCAAGAAGCAAAGATGGAGAATAATGGACACACAAGTAAATAAATTTTGCTTTTAGTAAGAGACATTGCATTTTTAATTCTTGAATTTGTTACTTTCACATTACAGTAAGTGACCAGAATACAACTACAGAATCTGTTGTTGAACAGCTGATTCAATAGGCTTGAATTAGTAATGTTCAGAATTGACAACAAACTGTTTGTTGTCAATTGTGGTGTATATTCTTCTTTTCTAATATCATTTACCTTTTTGAATACACCTAAATCACTGAGACCAAAACAGACTTTTTATACTTAATAATATATATATATAAGTACTTTTTAAGTTGCACGGTTGGTTTAAAATCTGTAAAAAGCGTAAAACACGTAGTTTTTTTTTTTTTTTTTTTTTAGCTAACGTAACGTTTTTGATCATATGGAATTGAAAATAAAATTATGAGATTGTAAGGTTTATTTTAACTAGCGCGTTGTGCCTTACATTGCCTCTTTCTTATACTCCTATAGTTTCGCTTGCTATATTGAAATATGTAATTCATGTGCGTTTTAAAAAAGGAACAAGAACCAAAGTTTAGAAGAGTGAATTAAAAATCTATATCCACCCATGGTGGAACTCCTTTCTTATCTCTGCCTTTATCTCTGTTGTTACCAGCTAATGAATTTACTTCTGATTGAAAATTAAGTTAATAGTTGTTGAATAGCAAAGCGAGGTTGTCAGGCTTCAAATTTAAGCTTTGATTTCTGTGTTGAATCGTTATTGCCTGTCTACCTCTCATGAAAAGGACTTAATTTTGTTAATTTTTTTAGTTCTGTAACTTTAAAATGAAGTTTAAGTAAATATTTTATTTATTTTACTTTGTTTTATTTATTTAGTGCTGCGAATTTGAAAGGTAAACATGAGACTATAATTCGCGCGGTATTCTAGAGGACTAGATTTGTTAACTTATAAGACACCTAAAACAGAACTAGATAGAGATTAGATGAGAATATATATTATTTAACAAAGAACAATGTTAAATATCTTTTGAAAGGAAATTAATGTAAGCGTTTTAGTCAGCAATATTTCGTGTATATGTACACTACGTTAAAAAAAAATGGAGCAGTTCTATATCTCCCTTTCTACTGGGCCGATTGACGAAATTCAAATTGCGTTTTTCATGTCTCGAAAGCGCGACTTAGATAAGTATTAGATTTATATATAGCGTTGTTCTAATATAGGTATTTTGATACAAAACCGGACTTTTTCTGAAATGACATGCCAATGTAAAAATCGTACTACTAGTTTTTAAAAACATAGTTCTAAAATATGTGGCACCTCGGTGTTAATTGAATTTGATATATATTTCTCAATATCTCTTTTTTTACTAAACTTAATTCATTCCTTCTTCCAGAATTCGAAATTTAGGCTTAAATCAAATATAATTCGCACATTTTTTATGATTTATTTTTAAATATATTTTATAAATTTTTCGAAAAAACTTTTATCATAACCTATAAAATTTTTAACTTCATCTTAAAGTAGATGTATTTCTAGGCGCACCTGCAAAAAACTAGAGTTTTTTATTCAAAGTTTTCAAAGATATACATGAATTTACATATTGAAGCGTTTTAAAATTTGACATCTCTTTTTTGAGCGATAATAACGCCAAACGATAATACGTACACTGGAAAAAAAAAAAAAAAAAAAAAAAAAAAAAAAGGACAGTTCGATATCTCCCGTTCTACAGGGCTGATTGACAAAATTCAAATTGCGTTCTTCATGTCTCGAAAGCGCGACTTAGGATATATATTAGATTTATATATAGCACTATTCTAACATAGGTATTTTGACACAAAATCGCACTTTTTCTGAAATAACATACCAATTTTTTTACATATTTCGATTCTACGACTCAAATTACGCCTAAATATGAAATTTTGTAAAATTTGGAGCGAAATTTACGGAGAAATTCACAAATTTATGTTGGCACTTTTTTTTCAGTTTGCGCCAAGAATAGTACACTTGGCGAACTTCTTGATATATGGCAACCTAGTTTCCTTTCCCGTGAGAGGAAAAAAGGTTCACCATTGTTCCTTTTTTCCAAATAATATTCTTCATATTATATTTTTAATTATAACTTATTATTTTAAGTAATTTTTTCTTTTTCGAACTTCATTTTAATTGTTTAAGTCGCATGTTTTTTTTTTTTTTTTTTTTTTTTTTCGAATAACTGTTTTAAAAATTTGTATTTACCTATTCGAACTGCGTAAATAAAGGTGCAAAGTTTATTTTTTAACAAATAGTTTTCTTCATCATCGCAGACAATTAAGCAAAATGCATATATATGTGGGGAAAGGCAACGACCATAGTTGATAACACACATTTATTACTATTTACAAATATAGATTATATTAGGATTACAATTAATGAAAATGATATACGAGTGATCGAGCGACGTCTGCTCCGCTCGCCAGCTAATCCTCGTCTTCTTCCGAAGGCGGGAAACACATGCTGACGCAATGCATACGTCATACAGTAGGGGATTAGGGAATATCATGACATAACGTTTCCCACATATATATTTTTTGTCATAGTTATTATTTTAGGTAATTTTTAAATTTTTATAATTTTATTTTAATTGTTTGTGTTGCATTGTCTCTTCAGATAATTGTTTTAAAATTTTCTATTTATTCCCTCGAACTGATCATTTTAAATATATTTATTAATACAAATTTTCCAGAATTTGATTTTATTTATTTGAATTGCGTTTCTTCCGGAAGAATACTTTGTAACCCAGACTACGATGTGTTTGAAAACTGCATATATTAAAAGGGAAAATACAGTAAAGCACAGTTAACAAGCCTTTCAATGTTCCGTTCAGAAAAGATATATGTAAATAAGAGAGATATATAACCGACATTTTAACTTAGGATGACTTGCATACACTGCTTTAAACAGTTTTATCATTGTGCCCATTGCTTTATACAATTTTATCCTACATGTGGTTTCTTAAAATGTTATTCATATTTTAGTCAAATATTTTATTTCTGAAATCGCAAGAATCAAATATCATAATATTAAAAGGTTTTAAATTTAAAAAAAAAAATACTAATACTAAATTTTACGCAAAAATTTATTTTTTTCTTCTCTTTTTCTTCAGGCATTATACTTTAGTCTTGGTCTTTTTCTTTAGGCATTCTGCAAGTATATTAAAAAGCATCCAACTTTTCGAAATATCTTGATATTTCTGAAAATCATTTTCAATAACGTTATCGCCTTCCATTTCATAAAGGCCCACAAACGGCCGAGCGGTAAAGTCGTTGAACACTGGTAGTTAACTCCAGCGTTCGAATCCCGGTAAACGGGCTGGTTGCATGGGCGTTTTCGTGGATTTTCTCCTGTGTACCGTGTATGACAGCTGGTTTCCCTTAGAAAGTTCTTCACGAAGTATTTCGTCAGAGCCTTTAACAGTCTTAAGTGGCTAAACATTTTGAAGATATGAGATGAAAGGAAAGACTGGTTTCATCAAGAGGGTTTCGTTTATTTAATTATGACAAAGCACACTAGGCCTATCTTCCTAAGGGGAGGGATGCCTTCGTGGAGGACTTTCTAGGGGAACTGGCTCGCATACACGTTACACATGGGAAAAACCACGAAGACGCCCATGCAGCCAGCCCGTTCGCGGAATTCGAACCTCGGACCGAACTACCAGTGTTCAGCGACTTTACCGCTCGGCCGCTGTTTCATCAGAAGGGGGAAAAAACGCCTTTGGGTGTCATCCCCATACAATACTGGATAAACTCCTGAATCTTCAAATAATTCGACTGAGAAAATCATGGGTTTCTCCATTTATGATACAATATGATGTTCTATAACGTAATTTAAATTTATACAACCATATAGTTTAAAACCAGTTCCTCTTCACTTTAATCTGCAATGATATCGTTTTTGTCTTTTCTGTTAACACAAGCTCAATGGATGATATTTGCTGGTGTACACGTCCAAGTGTTTTCTCTTTGAAAGCCTAAATTCTTTGAAGTATCCTGAAAGTATATTCAAAAGCGTCCAACATTTTGAAACATCTTGGTATGTCTGACAGCCAAATTTTCCCTGCATAATTTTGCTTACTTTTCTCCCTAATTTTCTGCTTTCCTTCTACAGTAATTTTCAGTACTCACACAAGAAAATTAAGATTTTTCGATTGCTAGACTTCCATAAATTTTGCATTCTTGTCAATTTTTTAAAATATCAATTACATAAATTGCGTTTCAGATGAAGACAGCTTTTCATTTTCTAGTCATTTGTACTATAAATAAAGTTTAAAGCGAAGTCTAAAGGATAAATATTTTAATTAAAAGATTTTTGCTAAATGACAAAGAAATAAAATAGTCCAGCAGGGTTTATTCTGTACCACCGAGTGACCAGATTCTTTTATCGGCTGAAACAATCTAAATCATATTAAAGATCATATTTTTTTTAATACAATCTATAACGCGAGAGAAAAATTAGCTTCTTAAAAAACATTCTTTCTAAGACGATTAATATAAAAGATATATATATATATATATATATATATATATATATATTTAAGCTGGGACTTGAACCAAAACTGTCAAAACTTTTAAAGTTTAATTTACATGGTGGTTATAATTAAAGTTCCAATTTGAAATGGTCATAAAAGGAAAACTACCGGACCAAATGTTATCAAACTTGGGAATCGTGTAAAGGAGGTTATGGGAATTTATTTTTCGCGGAAAAAAAGAGTTCAAAAACTCACCACCAGGGGGAAAATGGCGCTGTATATAATATTGTTAAATGAAATAAGACACGAAAACATCTGTTTAAAATGTGTATAATATTTTCCGAAACGTGTTACAAAGCATGTTCAATGTAGCGTCCAGCATTTTCCGAAAGCGAGTTAAATCCTGTTACTGCATTCTCAACAGCAGCTCTTAGAATATCAGGAGGAATGTTATCAGTGTATCACATTTTTCATTTCTGCCAAATTGTTTAGATTATCACCATAAACAGTGCTTTTGAGATAACCCCATAGCCAAAATT